CGGGCGCTGCCCCTGCCTCGGGCCCGCGGCGGGGGCTGTTGAAGTTGCCACAGTTCATCCCGGCGGAGGCGAAGAGCGGCTGAGCCCTCACCGGTGGGTCCCCCCTCCTTCCGGGGAACCCAGACCCAGGCGGCGCCACCGAGCGCACGCGGCCCTTCCTCGGAAAACAATTACTCCGGATTCGCTCTGGCGACTGGGTGGGAAAGAGGGGGTAGAGACCCGAGCAGGCTGACGGTTCAGTCCCCTCTCTCCAGGTGCAACCCTGGGACCTGCTGCGCGCTTTGGAGGTGCAGGGAGAGGTCGCTGAGATGGGAAGCGCAGAAAAGGGTCCCCGAGCTGGAGCGAGCCACGGGTGGGATTTGGGGAGTCTGTGTGTAAACCTTCTCATTCTGCAGGGCAAATGCTGACACACGGGGGATTCCTAACCATATTTTTCGTTGCCTGACTTTCCTGATAATTTTGGCCAAAGCCCAGGCCTCCTTTCCTAGACACGTGTTGGGCTCCTCTGCATTTCCTCCGAGACCTGCCCCAACACCCAGCCCCGTTCTCTGGAGAGAAAAGCGGAGCTTTGTTTTCGGCATGTAGGTGAGAAGAGGAGTCCTCCACCGTGGTGTGACCCCTTGGGAGGCAGGGGTGGTCCCTATGATGACTCCCAGGTTTGAGACCTCTCTTACACTTCCTATTTGTCCCACTTCCCTCCACAAATGTTATTTTTAAAACAAGTATTTATTTATTTATTGTTGTTACTTTAATTCACCAGAAAGAGAGAGAGAGAGCAGAAAAGGGAGAAGGCAAGCTGCAGGGCCACAGTCTTGAACAGTGATCAGCCATGCGGGAGTCTAGGCCTTAACCACTACACCACCTGCTGGCCCTAGGAATGTTATTGTTAACCGAAAAGTAGAGTTCTGGAATCAGAAATGACAACTCCTGATTTATACCCAGTGAGCCTCACCTGGGTGAAAACTGGCTCACCTGCCCCCTCCCTCTGAGCCCGGTCTTGATACCACAGAGATCCCAGAGGGGGGAAAAAGGATATTTCTCCCAGCAGCCTTCTTCCTTTCCTGGGAACCAACTGGGACACTTCAGAATCCTCTTCAGTAATAAGGGCCTGCCTCTCTCACGTCCCATACCCAGGGGCCCTAATGAAGGTCATCAAACTAGTAACAACTTACTGAGAAGGTTTTATCTACAAGCTCTTGTGGTCTCTGCCCTATTTTTCTGGATATTTCTGTGTGCATGCCACTGTCCCACTTGGCTCTTTATAAAGCCACTGTTCCCTTGGCAAATGAAAAAAGAAGTGAATGAGCCCGTAAATTCCTGCTCAGGAAGGGCCCTGTGCCATCCAGAAGTTGTGCAGGAAGATTAAGAAGTAAACTGATTGTCCAACTCAACTGAGATTCAACTCAGGCCCAGAGGGGATCTGTCTGCCTTGACTGTTTTCATTACAGAGGCAGGACTTCCTCCCTCTGCCTGGAGCATGCTACTTTTGAAGCTTACATTAAATCACACTCCTTGCAAAAAATAGGATTTCCTAGGTCTAGGAGGGACAGTGGATGAAGACACCCTACACCCGGCTGTGCTATGAGAACCTCGTCCTTTCTCCCTTCTGCGGTCTTCATAGACATCTCAGCAGCATTTCATGGCTTTGAGCTATTGTTTCCAAGGTCCTTTGGTCTAAGAAATCTCAGAATCCTCAAAAGTCACCGTGATTCTAGTTAGGGAAAAAGGTGGTCTGGGCAAGACCATTACAGTGTTCTATCTCCAGGTCTCTGTATAATTAACTGGTCCTGTGAGATGGGGGCTTGCAGCTCTTCCATTAAGAAGTAAAGCAAGGGACATGTTATGTCATAGCTTTGCAGCAGCATATCCATTAGCACTGCCAAGAGTTCATCTCAACAAGTCTCAAATCTGTATAACTATCTCTAGCCCCCGACTCCTGTGTGTTTCTTGAGTGGGGATTTTCAGAGTGTAGGCCTATTAGATGAAGGTAACCTTCATCAGTTAGGCCCAGCAAACTTCTGCGGTGATACAGAAGAGACCATGTGGTTATGTACATGCCTGCTGGTGGGATGTTGCAATGGGACCAGGCTCGGTGGCGGCAACAGTGAGATCTGGCTTCCCCAATGCCGTGTCCTGAGTCCAGCCTCCTCTCACAAGGCCCCTCCTCCAATAGTTTCTCCAGAAGGCGGTAGCATCCTTTGATCATCTCTCTACCTCTCCTTCTCAATCCGTAGATGTTGGAGAGCCTCAGGACTCAGTCCTCAGCCTTCTGCTCTTCTGTCCACATTCATTCTGGGTTGTCATCCAGACTCAGGATTTGAATAACATCTGTACACGAATGACTCTCAGGGGTGTTTACCAGCCCCACCTTCTCCTTTGAACACCAGGCTTACACACTGACTACCTTTCAGACATCTTACATGTAATACGGCCGCATAATCAAAATTGAAACATTGGTGCTTTAAAGAAAACCATCAAGGTCAGCATGGTGGTCAAGGCAGCTGGATCCCACTGGCCCATAAGCAAGTCAAGTCCTAGATCTGAAAGCTAGAAAAACACTCTGGGCATGTGTAGGTACGTGGCCAAAAGTCCAAGAAGAGACTGGAAGAGAAGGGATTGTGGTGTAGCCATCCCCTCTAGGGAATGATTTCTCACTTCCTCTCTCCTTCTTTCTCTGGTGAGTGCACATGTCCTATAGCAAAAACAAACAAAAACACCACTAAGTAAGTGAAAAGACAACCCACAGAAGGGAAACCATTTTTGCAAGATACATATCTTCTTGGGACTTATGTCTATTAGATATGTGTCTTGCAAAACTTAAAACTATTACAACTAAATAATGAAAGAAAATGTCAAAGTGGATAAAGATGGGAATAGAAACTTCTCTGAAGAAGATATACAAGTAGCCAATAAACACATGGAAAGATGCTCAACATCATCAGCCTCCTGGAAGATGCCAATCAAAACCATAGTGAGGGACCAGCAATTAGTGTAATGGCTATGTCTCTGGACTCCCCTGTAGTCAACCATGGTTCAAGTCCTGGACCTGGTGGCTTAAACTCACGCCGGGTGTGTGTGCATGCATGCCCAAGATCCCGAGAGGAGAATGGAGGAGAAGGGACTGCAGCGTGGCCATCCCCCTGGGGGTGATTTCTCTCTGTCTCTCTGTCTGTCTCTGTCTTTCTGGTGAGCACACACCCCCTATAGCAAAAACCTCTCCCCCCCCCCAAAAAAAAAAGAACTAAAAAGGCATAATAAGTATTTGTGAGCCTGGGAAGAAATTGGAGCCCTCATATACTGCTAGTGGGAATGTACAATGGCCCTTCAAACCATCAAACATAGAGTTTCCCTATTATCCAGCACTTCTACTCCTAAGTATTTTCACACAAGGAATGAAAACATATGTCCACACTAACTTGTATGCAAATGTTCATAGCATTATTTGAAATAGCCAGTAAGTAGAAACAACCCAACTGTTCAACTACAGATGAGTGGATAGACAGAATATTATTCAGCAACAATAGAAATGCAGGACTGATATGTGCTATAACATGGACAAGCCTTGGAAACATTATACCAGGGCCAGCAGATGGTGTGGTAGTTAAGGCACTGGACTCCCACATGGCCGACCGTGGTTCAAGTCTGGGGCCTAGCAGCTGGCTTTCTCACTTTCCCTCCCTCTCAGTCTCTCTTTCTCTCTCTGGTGAGTGCACATGCCCTATAGAAAATTTTAAAATAATAATAAATAAAATTAAATAAATAATTCTTTTTTTTAAAAAAGGAAACATTAGGCTGAGTGAAAGAAACAAGTCACAAAGGCCCACATATTGTGGGGTTCTATTTCCACAACATGTCCAGGACACAAAGAGACAGAAAAGCTGATTCGTGGCTAGCTAGGACTGGAAGGTAGAGAAGGAGGGTTAAGAGTAACATCCAAGGGCTAGGGGTGGGGGCGAGTATTTCTGGGGTAATGAAAATGTTCTAGTTGATTGTGGTGGGAAACGCTCTGATATTCGCAATTTACTGAGAGCTGCTGAATTGTAGATGTGAAAAGGGTGAATTGTGTGCCGTGTGAATTAGACCTCAGTAAAGCTGTTTTAAAAACTTTTCTCAATGATCATAACCAAAAGTTGTAATGTGGCCAAACATGGACTTCTGACTTCTTGGTCCTCCCAGACTTGCTCCCTGCTGGCTTCTCAGATGGACCAGCTACACCGAGTGCTCCATCCAAACAACCAGCGTGGTCTCGGCTTGCTTCCCTGTGGCCGCACATCCGGCACAAGCCGTCAGGAGCCTGCGAGAGAGACCGTAAGTCACCCACTTCTCACCAGCCCTCACCAGCCCTCCAGCCCCACCTTCCTCCAGTCCATCACTGTCTCTTCCTTGGGCTATGGCCACAGATCCCAGGTGTTCTCTCTGCTTCCATTCTTGCCCTTACAACTCACACACCCCACCATTCATAATCTGCTTCTTAAAGCATGCACATGGTCACGTTCCCTTGCTCAAAAATCCTCCTGCAGCTTTTCCATCATATTTTGGAAAAATCCAAACATCTTACAAGGCCCTGCCCTCCTTCCCAGCTTTCTCTTTCCCATTCTCCCCCTCACTGCCTCCTGGTGGCTTTATTTCTGTTCCTCAAACATTCCAGGTTCATGTCCTCCTCATGGTCTTTGCACTTGCTGTTCCCTTTACCCAAACGTTCTCTCGATAAAGCTTTGTGCATTCACTTTTAACATAACTCATCTGTGCTGAGAGGTGGGCTCAGGGGGAGATTCTGCCTCAAGAAGAGTCTCACTTCACTCCTGATTAAGAGGGGACACCCTCTCTACTGCCTCACCCTGATTACTTCTTATAGTGCTGTCATCTGAAATAATAAGACTTACCTCTCTGTCTCCCCCACGCCCGACTATAATGTGAGCTGAGCAAGAGTGGTAGTTTGGTCCTACTCCTGACCACCACTGTCTCTTCATTTCCTCCTTTTTAATTTTCAGTAGGGGTATGTGTTTGCCAGTGAGAGAGAGAGACAGAGAAAGTGAGAGAGAGAAGAGAGCACCCTCTCCCCAGTGGGGCAAGGTCCTGCCACATTCACACCCAGGGTGTTTTTTTAAGTTTCTGGAGCTGAGATTCGAACTGTGGTTGGCCCTGTGAGCTCTGACTCCCTTCACCTCTAGGTCACTAAGCCGACCCCACCACAGTATCTTTCCACCCAGAACAGTGTCTGGCACCTTTTAGGAGCTCAGCAAATGTCTTTTGAGTGAATGAATCAGTGAGTACTCTCCTGAAAGCAGCAAGGAGGACTGACTCTTCTCATCAACCATCACCAAGGCAACAATCAGACTGTCTTATGCCACTGGCCAACGGCTGGCTCTGAATGGGGCAGAAAATCCCTCCGAGGAAAAGCAAGAAAAACTCCTTCTTAATATCCAAACTAGTGGGTCATCAGAAAAGCCATGGTGCATTTTTGCACAGAAAAACAGAAAAATATGTCATGACATTTTGACAACCCAATAGATAGTAACAGACCCAAGTCTGAGAAACTCCCCATCTCACTTACTGCCCCCAAACCACCCCACTCAACCAGCCATTCTTTGTCCAAAAAGCCTTTTAACTCATTGTACATTTACGAATACCTAAAAGTCTCCTAGCAAAACAGGAGAAACGAGAGGTTAATGCTGTTGTGGATTGAATTGTGCCCGTTCCCCACTCCCTGCCCAAAAAGATATGCCAATGCTCTAACCCCCAGAACCTGTGGATATGCCCTTACTTGAAGATTGGATCTTTGCAGGAGTAATCGTGTTCAGATGAGGTCACCTGTGTGGGCCCTATTTCAATATGACCATTGTCCTTAGAGAATCAAGACCCAGGAAGGACACCTGTACCTACAAGCCTGTCAAGGATGAGCGGAAGCCAGAGTAGGCAAGGAAGATCCACCCTCGAGGATTCAGAGGGAGCGTGGCCCTGCCAGCCCTCAGTTTCAGGCTTGTCATCTTCAGAACTACAAGAGACTCACTTTCTGGATTTCAGTGCTTTGTTACAACAGCCCTGGAAACCAACACAAGTGCCGATGTACGGGCAGAGCCTAAGAAGGGAGAAAATGCCCAAGTGTTCTCCCAAACCTCATAGCCCCAACACGCTGGAACCGCGCAAGCTTGCTTGGGTGCATATATTCATTTCTTAAAACACACATGCATTTATGAAGAGCAGTTGAGTGAATGTATTTGTGTACACACCTTGTTTCTCTCAATCGATGGTCTCTGTAAGAACGGTTCTCCGGGCCAGCAGGTGGTGTGGTGGTTGGGGCACTCGCCTCCCACATGGCCACCCAGAGTTTAAGGTGGTTTATTTTCTCACTTTCCCTTTCTGTCTCTCTGTTTCTCAAATTATAACTACTTAATTAAGTGATTTTTTTTAAAATGTTCTCTATTCCACATCAACCTCAATGGCATCCAAATGAAAGGGATTCATAGTTTGCTAAATCAACTCTCGTCCTTCTGTGTTACAGCTTTAAACAGTTCTCAGAATGAAGCGGAGTATAGAGCTATAGGAAAAGAGGAAGAAACATCTATAGATAGATAAAGATGTCTCATATTTTTGGATAAGTCATTCTAATCTATACCATCAATAATCTTGGCTGTTGATCAATTGTAACCATGTGTGGGTTACTGCTCTACGTGCTGTCCATGGATCAACTCTTTAATTCGTCAAAATAATCCAGTTGGGTAGGTGGGATTATTAGACCAATTTTATAGATAAGGAAAACTGAGCTGTTGGCTAAAGAAGTGGCTGAGCCAAGCTTCAAACCCAGGCAGTATGACGGCCAGGTCTGTGCACTAAATTCTTTTGCTCTACTGTTGGTCTCTCTCAGAATGAGGTGTGTGATATCAGTCTCCTTGTTGAGGTCTTTTGGGAGATCAGGAAATAACAGCCCTACTGCCTACCTGAGTTCTGATCTGATTGAGAAATAAGACAACAGGGTAAGCAGGAGGTAACATAGAGACTATGCTGGGAGAGCACAGCCTTATGGGAAAGCCAAAACGCACTGGCCATCTGCCCTCACTCCGGATCGAACCACACCACAGCCATCGGTCCCCGCTGCTCTGGAGGAGGACAGCAAAAGAGCTCTGTTCAGAAGTGAGGATCAATGGCCATCACCCTTCTCCACAAGTGAAGGG